AAAAAAAAAAAAAAAAAAGGGATTATGATCGAAAAGAAAACCGAGCCAACGCTGAAGTCATTGAGGAAAGGAAGTATGACACAGGAGGTGTAATGGGTGTCCGCCGGGCCGTGGGCACACGTTTTCTTAAAGAACGAATTGCTATTGGTAAAAAACGGCCGTGTTTTCTCCATCTGCGCTGTGCATGCCTACTTTAGAAAATTTGAAAATGTACGTAGTAAAACATGTAGATCATCTCTGTGCCCTCACTTGAGAGAACCGCTGTTAACCTTTTGGCCTACCCTTACCTCCTGTTTTGTTTCGTTTTTTGTTTTTTATGGAGCATTTATGTTTGAGAATGATATTTAGAGGAATTCAGACAAGTACAAAAATACGGCTGATGTTTACATCTTGGTAAAGTTGGCAGGAGTTTGGTTCGATCCGCTCAGCAAAGTGACTCAGTACCTTCACAGGGGAGGTGCTGAGGATATTTCAGAACTGAATTAGTGAGTTACAGATGAGTTTATTCTGACACGCACAGTACCCAAAGCCCACCGTGTGCCGGGCACTGTGCTGGGTACCGACAGTGCGAAACGGGCCTGGCGCCGTTCCTGCCCTGACCCAGCTCGCTCCCATGGACTGAGCGTGTGGCCGTGTAAACAGATCATTTTGTCAGTGTTGTGAGCGCCGTGCTAACGGGGTGTGCAGGCAGCTTGGGAGGGGAAGGAGAGGATAACAGCTCCATCTTGTGCCAGAGGTCACAGCAGGCCGTGTTGGGGACGTCTTAAGAAAGAACCGGGCATTTGCCCTGAGCCTGGACGGCTTGAAGGTCAAATAACAATCTCTCAGGTGCAGGAGAGAGGAAAGGAATTCAGCAAAAGGAATTACAAGCTCAGAGTCATTGTTACAAGCTGCGTATTTGAATTTCAAAAGCAACTCCTGTTGTCTTCTCGGATGCTTTAAAAATAATGCAAATGTCTCATTTATTTATTTTTTAACAGAGTCGTTGAACTAAGTCTAAACTCAAAAACCGACTTACCTGGCCAGGGACACTCCAGAAAACAGTCAAATTGTTAAAATGGAAAAGTCAAGCCAAGAGTTTGACTGACACTTGTCTATTTAAAAATAACCGTGGTATATTTAAGGGGTGAAACAGACTCTCTCTTACTGGTATGGATTTTGATGGCTATCGAGTCTTATTTTAAGCTTCACTTGAACTGTTCTAGGAGGTAGTAATGTAGAGGGAGGAGTGAGATCTCTGGAATAAAAAGTATGACTGTCAATAAACTCTGGTTTTCCCCACCCCCTAGGGTTAGCGGCGTTTACGCCCCACCGGTTTCTGCTCGGCGCGTGCACACGCGTGGGGTGTGCAAACAGCTCCCTGGTCACCCTGTACACGGCACAGCTGCCGCCTGAACACGTGGATCCCCCCCTTCTGACCGTCCTGGATTCTAGAACTATATTCGCACAGTGAGTGGAAATATTGTTTCTGTCACCCACGGGTTCATGCAGGAAACCCAGGGAGTTCAATCAAGGGAAGGGTTTGTGACACGGAATTAATTTCATTGTGATTAAATGCATAGGAGTGATTAGTTCGGTGGTTCTGGGAACTTTGATTATGACTTGCCAAGTTCATTTCCATTTTGTCTTTCCGCAATCAGGCCGGGCCTCTGTGTACAGAGATTCCGTGCAAGCTCCAAGGAGGGGAAAACTGACCACTTATGTGACCGCCCTGGGCCTTGTAGACTTGAGGCATTGTTTGCAACAATTTGGAATTAGTATAAACATACTTTTTTTTTAGGATAAACTAGGACCTCCGTGTTCCTTTGCCGTCAAAAAAGAACTTCCACCTATCGGCATGTTCAGATTACTTTTGATACTGGTGATTTTCACCCATTTCCTAGCACAAGAGGTAGAGGGAATATTGCAGTGATGAATTAAACCTCTCCTACCGCCAATCACTGCTTGTCTATAGTCATCTCTCTTGGCCTCAGTTTTCTCATCTATGAAAAAAGAGTTTGGATTAAATAAATTAAGATATTCTTTCAAGCTGGAAAACGGTCATATTCCATTGTCCCAAATCTAAACTCTCCCACTGGCTTTCCTTTCCTTTTTACCCCAGAGCCAGCCCCACATTATTTACGCCCCCCCCAAAGATTTCCCACTACTCTTAAGTATTTCTCAACATATTTACTGGTTTCTGCCCATCTGTGATTTGCCCTGTTTGTTCTCACTGGCACATTGTAACCCTCATGTGGAACATGCTAGACTCTTCCTGCCCCATCCAGCCCATCGAGGGACACAGTCGTGCATCGAGGTCACGCGTCACCTAACTCGAGAGGCCTACCTCTCTCTCGGCCCTTCCGAGCCAGCTTCTCTGTCACCCACAGCTGCATCTGCACCGTTCGATCGATACCTTTTCCAATACCATTATGGTGTTCTCTCTCCCTCCCTTCCATTTCTCATAAGTGCTCAGATGTTTTACTTACCTCAATTTTTGGTTCTGTGGCTTAAGTTCCAAATCAGGTACTCACACATTTGTATAGTACTAGCTAATTAAAATTATAAGTAACTAGAGAGCTGGCACTACGTCTTCTTTTCTTTGTACCATTCAGAATAGACATTTCATAACTACTCGGTTGTGTGTGCGTCAATCACTTTCGAGCTCTCAGTGTGTATTTTTCCCGCGGCCCAAATCCAAGTTCACACGTGTCCGTAACGGCCGTGCACGCCGGGCTTGATGTGAATGAATGATGCTGCTGTGCTTTTCCGTTCCTAGGTGGAAACAACCCAGAAAGGTAAACGGGATTCTGGAGCGCTATGTCTTGTACGTCTCAGATCGCACGCGGGATTCTCCCGTTTGGGATGTTGCCTATAACAGCACAGAGCCTCTTCGGGACCACACGCTGCGACACCTTTTGCCGGGCACTCGGTACCTTCTCAAGCTGGGAGTAAGTTCCCGTCACTTTCACCACTGTCCCTGTCCCTGTGCTGTCCCTGGCTGCTGCCCTTTGTCCCACCTTCTCTCCCTCCCTCCCCTAAGAAAACAAAAACAAGGAAGCCTCATGAATCGCCCTTCACACTGAGAACTCGCTTCACGTCCTAAATGTGAATTATGTCGACCTACTACACTTATTCTACATTGTGCACAATGATAGAATAACAATCCGAGGCAGTAGGTTTTCCCAAATCTAATTTTCGATGATCAGAAATTATTTCTTTTTTGTGATGCGTAGGACGTCTTCATTGTTGAGGCCTTTTTCTAAAATGCTTGGATTAATAAGGTTATTTCCCCCCACGGAGCTTGTGTTCATTTGAAACACAATGCAGTGTATGAAAATTTAGGCTTTATTTTTTTTTTTTAATGAAGGTTTAAATGACCCCCAGATATTCTTGATTGTTAGTATATTCCAGTTTACATTACATTTCTATCTCAAAAGGACCAGCACTTAATAAAACCCTAGAACCAACATAGTCTAGAGGTTTCTGTAGACAGACAATAGCTTTTTTTTTTCCCCCATGCAAAATTGCACTTTTATACAAAGGTCTTTTAAAAGACCTTGATATTGCTGTGGAATTTATTCCTTTTGTTTTTTTGATGAAATATAATCTTTTTTTAAGTTTAATAGCACCTCTGAAAATAACTGAATATAAACATGAGACCGTCCCTATTTGTTTTAAACACACTCTTCATTTTATAGCAATACCTATATAAGGGTATTTGCTTTGATAAATGCCATAGAAAATATTCTGCTCTTGATTATGAATAAATTTACATTTATGTAGACACTGTGTATGCATTCATTTTACTTAACATGCTCTTGAATGCTCTAAATATTATACCACGGGAAAATAAACTACGTTCAACTATTGCCAAGTGTCTGACCTGACACCATAAAACAAGGGCAATCAAACAGTGTTAACAATCCTGCTCTGAACCGACTCCGTGTGCCTAGGTGGTCAGCACACAGATGGGTTATGAATAGCAGCTTTGATGACTTGGTTTATTACCCAAGATGTGAGAAGTGTTTTAACTTGATTTTCAAAAGCTAATACACAAATCCACACTATATTCAAAACAGTAGTAATATCAAAATCTGGAAAATTCTCTATTGCTGAGAAGCAACCAGAATTAAACAGAAACTGTTAGGCTCTTGGTTTTTATCAGAAGGAGGCAAATGACGTGAAACAGGTCTGCTCTGAAGGCGATTTTTAGGGTATGCTGTGCAGTCCATGAAAATACACCCGAATCTCTTGTGTTTTATGAACCTGAAATACCTTGAAAAAGAAACACCACTGGATTGTGATTCCACTCCCCTGAGTTTCCATTCGGATTTTGCCACCAACTGTGCGGCCTGAGGCAGATTTACTTAACTGCACTGAGTTTTATGTTTTCCAGCCTAAAATTAGGATTTTGAACTAAATGATTTTTAATGTCTCTTTAAGCCCTAACATTCTATGGATGCTAAAAAGGTGACCCCCAAACAATAGTCGGTGGAGTCAAACCCGATCTGTCAGCCACTGGATAATGTTGATGCAATATGTCAAAAAATGTGGAAAGTCTTGCCCTAACTCTTGCTAGGGAAATAAATTTGCTCACATTATTTTTTTATTTCACTGTATTTATTAGGGCAGAAAATACTCTTAATATATGTCCAGGAAGTATTCAACGAAAAGGTAGTGTTTTGGGGTTTGTTTGTTTTTAACTCAACTTTGTTAACCAGTAAATTAAATGCACCAGAATATTTAGGTTCATCTTCTGGTTAATTGTGAGGTTATTGTATATTTCTCCGTTTCTACGTAATAACTGGCTTCCAAGGTCGTTAGGTGCATAGCTGGAGATCAGGTTGTCGGCCAAGTGGAGCTGCCATCATAGGTCATCCGAGCATGTTGACTACGTGCTGGGGAACAGAACCTGCAGATACCAGGCCTCGAGCAGGCGTTGGAATAGAGGGGAAGACATGGGAATTGTAACCCCATTGATTTACTCTAGACTCAGAGCAGGTCTGCTACTTCACGTGGCTTCATTTAATTTTCCCTGTTAACTGGGTTGTAAGTATGATGACTTTGCATTTTTGTAAAAATGGCTGTAAGTGACAAATGCTATATTTTAGTGGCTCGGAGCGGAGGCTTTCAAAGACTTCGCCATCTCATAAAGCCCTCTTTAATCAATCGCACTATTTCGTTGAGGTTTTCCAAACCAGAATCTTAATAAGCATTCAGTTGCATTGAATGCAGTGGCCTCTGGTGCCGGCAGGTCACACAAGACACTGATGGGTTCCGTTTCATTTAGATGATATCAGTTAGATTAGATCAATCGGGACGCAGCCTTAAGAACATGCATTTCCTTATTGTCGGAACTAAGATATTGTGCTGTTCTCTCAACACCTCCAAACGCATGCAAAGAGAACGTGTGTGTGGGAGGCGAACAATATAAAACATTTTGCAGGTAATTCTGTTATGGCAGCAGCCCCTTTATAAATTCTGTTTCACTCACAAGAAACATTATCTCATGAACTCTTTCGATCCTTAAGAAGTTCTTTGTCACTTGACTTGTTTATGGCTCTTTCATGACAACCCAAAGAACATGGTCCTTCCAAACCAGAGGATGTCTTTGTTTTATCCCAGAAGGCATCTTGAAATTCTCAGAACAAAGTACATTTTCATTCACATTCTGTTTTTAAAAAGATAGACTTTTATGTCACGTAGTCCAGTATTTCTTTGGGGAGAGTTAGCAGGGAGAGGCCTCAGGGTATGGATGGCAAATAGGCTTATCAGAATTCAGTCCCATCGTGTTAAGTGTTTAACAATAAGATGCTTCAACATTGTTTCCCTCCCAAGGCAAAAATCTGGGAAATGCAAAGGATGCATTTATTTCCTTCTGAGGACCAGAAAGCGGGCCCCTCTGCCCACTTTCGTAAGATCACCCCGCTGTCCCTCGTGGCCTCCTTTCCTGCCACGTTTTCTGGTGGGCCCTTTAGCACTTCAGAAAGCATGTTTTACTTTTCTCATTTTCCTGTTCAGATAGTTATTCTTGGGCTCACGGCGACATGTCCTAGAGATCCGAGTCAGGGTTTGGCCACAATCTCCATCGATCCTTCTTTATTTGCAAAGAATCTGTTCTCAGGAGGAGGAACGGCTTCTCTCTCACATAGATATGCACATGCCACGGCTGAGCATTAGAGGAAACCCGCAGAGGTTAATTAGGTCCCCAATCTTAATGCAATTTCATGCCCGGGCCACGGTTTAACCCATCTGAGCCTTGCTTACGCTGCTGAGAAACTATCCTAAAAACAAGGCTTACTCTTGTATTTTTACAATAAATAGCAAGTGAGATTGGTCTCCGTGTCGATTGACCATATTTTGTTAGTTATATCTGTAGTGAATTATTTGGGCTCACAGTGACATGTCCTCTGAGTCAGAGTCTGGCCACAAAGCAGGGACAAGCCCAAAGAATAAAGAGGCATTTTAATGGCCTCTATTCGTAATATCTACCTTTCAGGGAAATGGGCTACATAACTGCCTGCTTTTACGTTGTCCTACGATTTCGCTTCATATTCTCACTGATTCGGTAACATTTAATGCTTCTGGAAAGATTCTTAAATTTCATTGGGCAAAGGACAGTTGTAACCTAGAGAGATGCTGAACCAAAAGCTTAAGTGTGGTTTTCAAACACCTGTGTTATTTTTATAGCGATATAATTGCTGATATTTGCCAGGAAATTTAGTCTAGAAATAGTCTATGTGTCCGTCTCAATTTCCTGCAGAAATACTTATCCAGCTACTTAGGGAGTGAGGATATTTTCCTGATACATTTAAACGTTTTGGGGGGGGATTGTTTGCAATGTATTTCCAAATACCTCTAACACCCATATTTTCATTTTTGGCCTTAGTGATACCTTATTAGGGAATGGGGAGGGGGGGTCCTGTGACCCTTTTTAAGTTTGTCAGCCAGTTAACAAAGCCATTTCCTCTGGCGCCTAAGTAGTGATCTGACCCCTTCAGCCGTTAAGCAGTCACTCAACACTGTCTTTGTGTGGATTTATGAGAAATATTTTTTAACTCAATCACACTGGTCTACTTCAAATATATTGGTCACACTACAGTAAATAAAAGGCAGTTATATTTGCTCTACATATTTTTACTTTATTTTAGAAATCACTTGTTGTATCCTGAAGTAGTCTCCAGTCTATGACTTTTCTATTTTATTTTTTTGATGCGCACACATACCTGTGTGTGTGTTTTAATTCATTCTAGGAAGCTTTGTGCAAGGCTGATTTAATAAGGGCTTTTTACAGGAGGGAGCAAAAGTAGCTTTATAGCTTTTCTTATGGAAAGTAATACAACAATTAATAAATAATAAAGCAAGAATAAACTGCGTTTCACACACCCAGAACTGTAAACCTACCTTTGCCTCACCCTGTATGGCCTATCACTAGGTTCTAACTTAGGACGTATTTATATTTCATATATTTATGCATTCTGGGTTATTTTCTGATCATTGGAGATGGCTGTCTCGTGCCCTAAAAAGAAAACTAATTAAGCATCAAACCTCCTCATGGAAACAGACTTCTTTTGTGGGGTACAGGGAGCTTTATTTCAAAGAATCTGAAAGCCTTATTATGAATTCTCCCACTTCGATGCTCCCCTAAACTTTCGGCACCCCGAGTGACATGTGCTCTCTCCCTCCTTCTGTGCCCAGGCCTGCTCGGGCGGTGGGTGCGCAGTGAGCGGGCCCAGCGAGGCCTCGACGGCCGGGAGCGCACCCGAGGGGGTGCCCGCCCCCGACGCCCCCTCCTACTCGCCCGACTCCTTCAACGTCTCCTGGACCGAGCCCGAGCATCCCAATGGTGAGTGAGCTCCCGCAGCCTCCAGTTAAAAAGCTGATTAGCGAAGGTAAATTAATATTCTCAATGGCAGCTTCGATGCGTCGCTTAATTTTTAATGATCATCTTAGCCCATAAAATACCTGAGATAATATCTTTGTCTGTAGTTGCGAGATTGGGGTTTTCAGGCTCACACGCAATTTCGGTGGCTCAAAAGTGCTCCCTTTTGATAGTTCCTGTGAACTGCATCTTCTTGTCTGACATGCTCCGGGAGAGGCGAGCAGGACAAGTGCGGATTCCCCGCTGAGGCCCTCGTGACAGGGTCACTGTATTTTCAGTGACTTTCCGTTTTTGACGGGCACTCTTTCCGGAACAAGCAGGGCGGTGGAAAGTTCCCGCACATATTGCATTTCAAAATGCTTTTGATTCAAGAAGCCTGTCTTAACAGAGATCACTGGGAAGTCTGTATTTTTAATATATGATTTATAAATACTTCCACCTGCCGTTTTTCGACAGCGCGTACATCAAATGCATAGACATTTCTACTTCCCATTGAGAAGGATCGTGTATATTTCTAAGTGGTATACACGATTTTGCATCGTTTAGAGAATTAAGTTAGCCAGTTACAGTTGGCCAAAATAAAATCTTACCGTAAAGAAATTTTGTAATAACTAAAAAGAAATTTTGTAATAACTCAGGGTAGAAATTGCTGGATCCATTGACTGACAACGTTTTCACGTTTCATGCGGCACAGCATCGTTGTTCTAAAGTGTAGACGCTTGCACATGACATCAAATTGTGCTCCTCCTTAAGACACCATCAAGATGACTTTCAGTCTCATAGAAACTGTCTTAAGTAACTCATTACTGAACATTGAAATGGCCTCTCTGAGCACAGCCAAAAAGAATGAAAGAAAAAAATTGCAGTTTTATTAGTTTCCCTTATGTTTATTGTGATATTAATTATTGCAGTCATCTCATTTTAATTAAACTTTTGGCACGTGCAGTGGATATATTGGAGGTGCTGGAGAGAGCTTTACTGCTCAGAGTGAGCGATCATCTCTGCTCTTGGAGTGACTCCTGCACCATCACAAATTTTCTAATAAAAATAAATGGGTGTCCATTTGATACTTACATTAAACAGTGAAAAATCCTTCATGCTCCAGAAAGAAATCTGGTCCATAGGTGGCAATGAAAATGTTAATGATTTATTGCGGTTGGAATGTCGCTAAACACTATGACCTGACTTGACTAGTAGGTCACGTTCCTTCATCCCAGTTGGTGGTTGTAACTAGCTTGATGGCTGCACCCAGAATCCTAGGTTGACTAGAGAAATGCTTTCTACGTTTCAGAGAATCCTTACATATTATGTTTTGTGCATTTATAAGCAGTTTTAAAATATATTAATTAAACAGTAAGAAGTTGGGAGATTTTGGTGATGTGAGTTAACACGTCTATCATATCTTAAAGTCCAGTGTTCAATCTCATCAGAAATTTTAAGATTTTTATTGTAGGGAAAATGATTAGATATTTTAAAAATAATCGTTTCATCGCAGAGGGAAGGTAGGAGTGGGAGGGTAGGCAGGGAGAGATTAACCAAAGAATTTATATGCTCAAATGCCTAACCCATGGACACAGACAATAGAGTGGTCAAGGCCTGGGGTGGGGTGGGGTGGTGGGGTGGGGTGGTAGGGCCCGGGTAGAACGGGTCAATGGTGAAAAAAAGGGAACATCCGTAATACTTTCAACAGTAAAGACAAATTTTAAAAAACATAATAGTTTCATTAAATTATTTTCCTTCTTTTTACTGCTTCTCTCTTTCCCCAAACTTAACAGGGTTGGGTATCTGTAGTCCATTGTCTAGAGAGGGATACTCTGGTTATTGGAAAACAGCTTGTCTGTTTTCAGTCTGTTCTCAAAGCCTCCACGCTTCCCCTAAAAATCAGAGGAATAAAGTCCAAACTGTTTATTCTGGCCTTCAGATCCCTCCCAACCTGTGACTCCACCTGCATTTATACAGCTTTTAATACACCGTCCTTTATAGACACCCTAGAATATTTGTAGCTTGACGTAGGGCTGACAGACCTGGATGTGCAGTCTAATCTTATCTCTGTGTTACTTTGGGAAATTTACTAAATCCCATGAACTCCATTTTCTTTCGTTATAAGATTGGAGTTAACAGTTCTTACCATCTCTCAGTCTTTACTTGTAGAAATCGGGCTCATTCCTTAGGGCTCAACATAGGCCTCTCTTTTCATGAAATTGTTCCACCCTTCATTGAATTTAAGTTGAGCTTTGTCTCTCCTCTTGGCCATATATTCTGTTTCTGTGCCTTCCGAATGACCCATACTTCATCCATCCAGGCTCTGATTTATTTGGGTACATGTCCAACTTGCCGCCTACAAGGTGGTAAGGACCCCGAATCACTCCTTTCTCTTTCCCTTCACAGAGCCTAACACAATGTCATACTCTGTTGATACCTAATAACATTTCGTTTATCTAGTCGTTTCTTGTGAACATGCCATTCGAACAGTGACATGTATACTGTAGAGTCCTGGCTCTCTAATGAGCCCCAACAGAGAGAACAGAAGGAGTTACGGGCCAGTTCCTAAAATATACGCTAGAAGGTGAATGCATTTTTATAGTGCATGTGCATGAGGGTGAATGTGTAAATACTAACTGAGCACTCCCCTCGTGCAAAGGAAGGATTTGATTTCCTGTGAACACTAATAATAATGGTGATAGTGATGCTAACAGCTACAGCTTCCAGCTACGTGCCAGACACTTACGTCTCCTAACTGAAATGGGTATTAATTCCACATTCAGAGGTGGAAACTCCAGCTTATAAGTATTAAGCAAGTTAATTCAAGACAAGACAACTAGTTAAGTAGGAATGTAACACAAAGCAAGATGTGACTTAGACATCCATAGTTCTATTCACAGTACGTCTCTTGTACCTTAACTTTCCATAGAAATGCTCATAATACAGGATTCCACCTAGTTATGCAAAAATACTTTTTTAGGTGCTCTGACTTGTCCAATGTCTTGTTCTCATTGTTAATATTTAATATTCCTAAGATCTCTAGGCTGATTTTCCTCTGGTTTTAAAGAAACAACTGGGTTGGTTTGTTGGGTTTTTGTTTGAAACTTTTGATTTTGAAATAAGCATATTTTTAAGAAGTCAAAATGTGATTGCCTCTCCTTTCCTGCCAATGCTCAGTTTTAATGGGAGACGGGTTATGGAATTCAGCGAGTCACTTAGGGAAAGTGCTTGACAGTTTGGGGCCCAGCCCGTGTAACTTTTATGAAACACCTCCTAGGCCTGGCAGGTAGAGGTTCCCAGGCACGCTCTTTTTCAGACTCCGCTGATGCCATTTTTAGGAGAGCATCCCAGTAATAAGGCATTTTTCCACAACGCGAAAGCTGTTCTCTCTCTTTCTCTTTAATTGAAGGATCAACTATTCACACAGGGACACATCTGCCACATCCAATCTTCGTCGGGGATCAGGGGGAGGCCCTCGGTTGATTTTCCCATCGCCTGGCTGTACTGGAAAAAAACAAACAAATGTGCTGGGAGCCATCGCTAGGCACTGGGCATGTTATTTTTATGACACACTGAAGCGGTGGTGTTTAATTCTTACAGTAAACAGAATCCCTCCGTTTAAACAGAGACACCTTGTATTAAATTTACATGGTGTTGGGCTGCGTTTCCTGGGTTATGTGTGACAACCCTTTGAGCACCTTAGGAAATGCAAGTTGACACAACACGATGAACGGGCACTAAGGTGTGTATCCCAGGGGAGGTCCTCTGTGGACAATTACGAGTCCACTGCCCTGCGAAAATGAAACACCTTAAAAATTCTACCATTATCGAAAGAGAAAGGCGATAAACTCGAAACGGCCTCCACTAGGGAGCCAGTGGGAGTTCAGTGTCCATTTTGTGGATTGTCCATTCAAGAAACCAGATTTACAGACCTGGATTCAGTGACCTGATCCCCTTGAACACGTAGCGTAACGATGTTTTATTTTATGCAAGAAAGAAGCACAGAGATACAACACCGTGCAGTATAATTTAATTTTTATCTTTCATGGTGGGTATTTTTGTCTGCCTCTCACAGCGCACGGTTCCCCATTTATCCTGCATCCAAGGCTGACCTGGCCTCACACTGTCAACAGGCCTCTTCTCTCTGTGTGTCTGGCTTCCCCTTGGTTTGTCCAGGGGCAGAAGCAGCAGCGAGGATGGGGGAACAAGGCAGCCTCAGAACTTAGGCCCCTTGGCTCCCTCTCTGCCTGGCTCTGGGCTCCAGGCCCCCTTCCTCACCCAGACCCCATAGCTCCTACCCAGCGGACGTTTCCAGTAACTCGGCTCTTTCTCCAGGTTCCCGAATCTCTCCCCACCCTTCCCTCTCCACAAGCGAGGACGTTTACTGGCTCCCAGCCGCCTGGCCCCCCGGGAGTCCCTCTCTGACCACCTGGGGATGCTTTATTCTCACTCCCTCTCACCCTTCACCCCACCCATATCCTCCTAAACGGTCCCTTCGCTAAATTATCCCCTATTGTCTATTTAAGTTGCCACGAGTTTCCTACTGAGACTCTGATCGATTCCTAAATCTCATTTAATCCACACTTGACATGCAGAATTTGGAAGGGGGGGGGGGCTGGATGCAGAGATCAATGCGAAACGCTCTCTTTCATTCTAAGGGTGTCCAGAGTAAATAAGTCAACGAAGAAAATATTTTAGAAGAGAAAGGTGGACTGGGGATGGATAACAGGAGTCCTAGCAGCAGTGGGATGAGTTCACCAGGTTCCACACCTGAATTTGTATTTGTCTGACCTTGGGAAATGGCTTGGCCCCTCTAAGACTCCATATGCTCAGCTGTATAACAAAGTAAATAATAGTTCATAGTTCTCGGTGTCGCCAAAGTTAATGGAAATAACTCATATAAAGTGTGTAGCCTAATGTCTAACTCAGAGTGTTCGGTACATTTTTAATAATAAAGTGTTTTATAATTTTGAAAATACCTCCATGACCTTTCTAGAACATGGCATTTTACTTTTCCCAAAGCCCTTCATATACGTCCTGTACTCGAGCCAAAAAAAGGGAAACTGTCTCCTTAGACTTTATTTAAAATGTCCACTAGATTACATTCATTAGTTTTTGTTACTCACCTTGGGAATCTGAGGCCACTGAAAAGTGTTGTGTTAACAGACATTTGAAACATAATACTTACTAAATGTGGGTTTTTTGGAACTGAATTATGCAATGTTTCATGTTTTACCGATTTTATTGATATCAAAAAGTCTGCTAATAGTATCAAGCTATGAAATCTGCCTGCATCTATTGATAAGAAATGGGGTGTCCTCTTCAAATGATATCTCCTATTATTCACAAATTTACCAGAAAGCTTGACTGTGTGTCCTTAATTCAGGATTTTATAGTTAATGGCCTACCCAAACCAGATCAAAGGAACGGCCTACTCTAGTCTCAGGCTCCCATTTTGAGGGCTTGTGTGGACACCAGCTCTGAACCATAATGGTACCCCGCTTTGGCCTGACCTTGAAGCCTGGTGATGAGCTGATAATACCTGGGCCAAAAGGCAGAAAACACAGAGAGGCCAACATCACATGTCTGGTTCATCTTCACGACATGCTTACGTTGACCCCAGCTTTTTGACTTGGGCATGGGGACCTCTCACCTTGGTCGAACTTGGGCAAAGCCTGATGGACCACTGATTGGGTGTGATGTGATCAGATATATGTTTTGAAAAATGCCCCTCTGTCTGTAGTATGAAGAATGAAGCCTATGGGAACATGAAATTCTATGGGAGCATCAAAATAGGCGGCTACTGTTCTCGGCTATGAGAGAATGACAGAATGGATTCGATGGCCATGGTTATGGACATGGGTAAAGATCGATTTTGACGTAAAGCCGACAGGCCTCAGGATGGAGTTGGTTTGGTTGCTGACAGTGTCAAAATGATTTAAAGGGCAGATTCACCTACCCAGATTGGCTCTACAACTGATCTTTCAGCCTTTCCTACAAATGCTGTCAAATATCTACAGAATGTGTGTGTGTGTGTGTCTGTGATCTCGCCTGTACTGAAGTTGGACTTCAGTGTCATCTACCTCTCAATTCCAATGCGCCCTAAGTACCCAAAAAACTTAGCGGTTGAATTAACTGTCAAAAATCTCACTTAATTTTATGCTCGGCTCATTGTCGCCTACTCATCTCACACTAAGCCCTTGTCTCCATAACTCTATTATTTCTATATCCACAGTTCCAGATGTCATGGGTGTCTACACTCAGCATAGCTCGCTAGGGGTTGAGTCAGGCAGACAAAACCAAGAAGTAACTTTTGAAAGCCTGTCACTGAGGGGAAATGGTAAAGAACTGGGAAAGGAGACACCAGGAGTGATGAAGTGTAGCCGCTGAGTGACGTTAAGGATAAGAGCTGGGGGAAGTGTCCCCGTGTCTCATGAGCCCCGGAGGGCATCGCTGAATTAGCGACTAGAGTCTCTGATGTCCATATGCACAGTTTGAGTCATGACAAAGTGATTCAATTACATTCATTACCATCTGAGCGAGAAGACAGGTTTGCGGCTCTCGCTAGAAAGATTTCCTTCAAAATGGTTTAGATTTTTAAAGTTTGTACTTAAGGGCTGAGATTTAGTTATAATGAAAATGAACTTCTATAAGAGATCTCATTTCCCAATATGTCAGATAAATGAGATATTATGCACATAATCCTAGCATAAAAGAAATCCTCTGTTCCCCAATTAGGTAAGAAAAGGGAAATATTGATTTGGGTACTTTCTATTTCAATGTTGAAAAGTAGGTCAAGTACATGGCGTTCGGGTGCCTTACAATTTCTTTAAGAGCTTCTGCACACATCATTTGCCCATAGATTTTTTCTTTTTTCTTTTTGGTGAGGATCCAGTGCTTCTTAGCAGAGTGCCTGGCACATAATAATCTCTTGTCCTTGTTATAACTGTGATTTTTATCCATTTTTCTTGTCTTAAATTTTCAATGAAGTAGTTGTTTTTTCCTTATGTATCTTTGATTTCTTAGTTTTAATTCATGTGTGCTTTTGTGTGTCTAGTATTTAAGTGGCAATAACTGAGTATTCTCAGAGTTACCATAGGGGGTCCCACTCGATGGAGGTGTCCTGTGTGCTCTGGGACAAGCACCCAACATCTGTCCTCAGGGAAAGCTTTCCGACGGAGTAACATTTAAGATAATTCCTCAAGAGCACACTAGGGGGCCGTTGTGAAATTAATTTTACTTTGAAAGAGGTTCTAATGTAGCCTGGAAGCTGAGTTTTGTTTCCCACAGTCTAAGCTTTAATCAGTTTGAGGATTTCCCATTTCCAGTGGAACGTAGGTCCCCAGTTCTCTACTACTTGATGTTAGGAAAATGCATATAACTTTCCTTCTGAAATACATTGCAGTTGATCATTAAAACCAGCCGCCCATAGCTTCTCTGACCCATTCATGAGTATCTCACGTATGTAACGTGTGTGATTTGCTCAAGGCTCATATGTTTACATAATTTAATGTCATCGGTAGGAGCATGGCAGAGTGGCGTGAGGAGTCCAAATTGCCAGGTCACAGCCTGTCGATCCTGGAGCCAAATTGCCTCGATTCAAATCCTGAGTCCAGCAGGGGCAGCTCTGTGACCTCGAGCCAGTTACCCCATCAGTCTGTGCCAGAGTTTTCTCGTCTGTAAAATGGTGATAATAATGCTGCCTGCCTGTAGCAGTGCTGTGTGCAGAGGGTTATAAAGCAGTTCACACACACCCACACCCACACCCACGGACCCACACCAGGGGCTAAAACCAGCGCCTGCCGCATCCTGAGTCCTATACAGGATGGTCGTGTGCTAGGTGGTCCCACTAGATGGAGTGTCCTGCGTGCTCTGGGACAAGCACCCAACATCTGTCCTCAGGGAAAGCTTTCAAATATGGTCCTTTTACTTCCAGAGCACATAGATTAAGGATATTATTTTAGAAAGCAGTACAGATGATAAATGTGCTGAGTTTATTCACGTTTGGTGCGGAACACAGATGACTGCAGTTCGTGGGATGCAGTGGCTGGATTCCCATCCCGGGGCTCCTGGGCTCTATTTCTGTCTCTGTGCTAATTAGCCGAACAATTTGACGTTCGAGGGCTTAAGCTTGTTTTATCCTTTGGAAAGAGGCAGGGCTTAGACTCAGGGCAACGGCAGATACTGGGACTCCGCGGAATTAGGAGTCGCGGCTAGAAGTGCTCGCTTTCTGGAAGCCGGTCTTTGCGGTTGTCCCTTTGTCATGCTAAACGCCACCCATTGTCTTTCCAGGTGTCATCACGAGCTATGGGCTGTATCTGGACGGTGTATTAATTCACAATTCCTCGGACCTCAGCTGTTATGCTCATGGACTTGCTCCGTGGAGCTTACACTCCTTCCGAGTCCAAGCCTGCACGGCCACGGGGTGTGCGCTGGGCCCGCTGGTGAGTGTGTGTCCAGCCGGGAGCGTGAGGAAGACAGTGCTGGTCACTCCCTCTCTGCACCGCTAGACTTTCAAGCAGGATGGGGATTTCTTTCTTTTTATTGATTTCTTTTTATTGATTTCAGAGAGAGGAAGGGAGAGGGAGAGAGAGAAACATCGATGAGACATAAACAGATCGGCTGCCTCCTGCACGCCCCCTACTGGGCATCGAGCCTGCAGCCCGGGCCTGTGCCCTGACCGGGAATCGAACTGGCGACCTCTTGGTACCTGGGGTGAAGCTCAACCCACTGAGCCACAGCAGCCGGCAGGGATTGTCTTTTTATAACATCTCACTTCAGAGTTAGGAGTTGTTTCTGTTCAACATAAACTTCAAGACTGCACATAGATCATCTACATTTTACTGAAATTTCAAAATGTAAGTTGACCAGTTTGCCTGGCAAACATACAGGTCTGCCTAATTTAGTAACATATTTAAAGTGCTTTTTTTTTCCTTCTTCCCGATATTGGGCTCTACGACTAAGTAAGTTTATGATTAAAAAGTGAAAATAATTGAAAGCCTGTAACTGCCACATCATGACAGCACTGCTCCCCAATAATCGGGCTGATCAATTAAAAGCTTGGGTTCACGTCATCTATTAGAATAAAATATGTTAATTTTATTAGTGTGATGCAGCTTCATGAGAACAGTATTGAAAATTACATTAATATCAGCTTTTGATATCCGCCTTTCAGAAATCTATAATGCGTATCTATATTTCATTAGTAGCCGAAAGATTGACGAAATCATGCTTTTCATTACTGGTGCAATTTTAAAATCCAATTAATAGTACATAGTTGTCACAGACTAGCATGCCATCCTTCAGCTCCAAAACATCCCGCTTGCGTTTGGTGCGTTTTTCTTGATTAATTAGATTTACCTTCTTTTAGGGGAAATGCTCATTAGTTTTAGATACTTTCTGGCAGTCTTTGCTAATGCTCTATCATCCCCATGCACTCTGTCTTCCTTGAAGAGTGTATTGGATAAATATTACCTTGAAAAACAGCCCCGCCGTTTAATTTTTGCTTCCATAATTTTCATCCCCCCCCCCC